GGCGCACAGGAAGTGATGCGCAGATGGAGCGTGTTCTAAGAAAAATGTGCCAAAGGCGCACAGGAAGTGATGCACAGATGGAGCGTGTTCTAAGAAAAATGTGCCAAAGGCGCACAGGAAGTGACATAATTGATTAGTTCACTTCCCTATTTAAACCAAGCCAGCCTGTCACTTATTTGCTGGATTGTCTTATCAGCTCCTGTCTGTGTTGTGTCGCCTGTTTCCTGTCTTGAATATTAGATTGCCGTTGCCTGGATTTTGACCCGTTCCTGCCTCAACTACCTGCCTTGACTGCCGCCTGCCTTTTTGACCCTGGACTGTTTTGATTATTCTTCTGCCTCTTCCTTCGGTACTGCAACTGACCTCCTGGATTTTGACCTCGGCTTGCCTCGACTTTGAATTCTGGATTACCCTTCTACTTGCACGGTTTCATAACTACTGGCACTCGTGCCACTCGGTGTCTGCCTGGCCTCTGTCACCATCCTCAAAGGCTTTTAGACACAAGGTGCAAGGGACGCCTCCTCAACCATCCAGTCTCCCAGACCAGGTTCGTAATATTAACACATTAGCCTTCCAACTTGTGTAAGGAGTCCACTTCACATGAGGATTACTGTGTGACAGGACCTGAGGTGTGCCATGGTCCGGGTGGTCAGTAATGCCAATAAGGGGGCAAAAACCAACTTGGATAACCATGACACCTGACTACATTATGCAGCCAACTTAGTAAAAACGTCTGCCAACTCTACCTGTGGATCAGGTATGTACCTGTTAAAGCATGAAGAATTCCAACGTCCTAAATGCTTGATTATATGAGCTGGGACTCCCTGACGTGACGCAGCTGATGCTGCCCCTATGCGAAAAGAATGACCGGAGTACAGCTTGGGATTAACCCCTAACTGGCTAAGTAGTAACCTAACATGAATAATGAACTGACTAGCGGTCGGCGGGGTACCGGGAAAAGGCAACAAAGGACTACCCTCCTTCTTCTGGGTCAAACTGGACATGAGATTGTCCAACACTGTCACAGGGCACCACAGATTGCCGGAAGGGAAAAACTTTATCTCGGTAGGTGCACCTACCTGATTCGTTTTGCTCCTTGCCAGCTTCAACACGTAATGACCGGGGAACCTGACCAACTGCTTCTTGCAGATCCCTGCGGCACTAGCGCCGGAGCAAGTGAATTCTCCCGGTCGCAGAAACCCGTAAAAAGCCAGATACATTGCAGCTTTAAATACTAGGCTCTGCAGGATGCCAAAAGGCGAGTTATCCAACATGCCTGACATTGCCCGGAACAAGTGACCGGTAATGGGTGTGCGTCACCTGTCTCCCAGCTTTCTGTAAGCCTTTAAGGATAGCTTTGACAGGGTGTGCTGCAAATAAACTCTGTCTATCCGGGTATGATAGAGATAGGAAATGTTGCACCCCCCCGAGGTATAACCTGATGGTATTATAGGCAAGCTTTAAATCGGTATGGCAATTGGAAATAAAGGCCAGGATATACGACAAACTACCCGTGTCTTGCGTGGCATATTGGACCTGAAAAAACCTGAAAGCCTTCCATGCCGTATTATACGCTTTCCGGGTATTCGCTGACAGGGAGTCACTGATAAGTCTAGTTGCGTTCAACTGGTGTCCCCTCAGTCCAACACCAGTAGATGGAAGGCCGGCATGGGCGTAGGCACTGCGTCTGCGTCTGGTCTCTGTTGGAAGAAAGCGGAGATTTTTAATCTAGACGGCGCATCCGCTGCCTGATTACACACACCAGGGATGTAGGAACAGGAAATAATAAACTTTTGCTGCAGAGAAAGCCAAGTCAACCTACGCATGAAAGACATGATTACCAGCGATTTAGACCTACTCTTGTTAATGATCTCTGCAGTAGCCTGATTGTCTGTAAGGAAAGTCACTGTGTGGCCGGACCATGAGGAGCCCCCGCATCTATATGTACTAATGAATCCTGCTCGGGTGCTGCCGGTAACAATGCTAACAGCCTGGAAATAAAGGACCTCCCCTGCGGGACAATACGCATGGCGAAGTTCAACATACCTAATATTGACTGCAACTCCCTCCTGGAACACACTGGAGACACCACCAGTAAGTGCAATGTGTCCCTGATCCTAACCAGTTTCTCCAGCGGCAGGCTGGCTTGCATTGCACTCGTATCCAGAATGATACCCAGAAAAGTCAGTACCCTCAGAGGATCTTCGACCTTGTGGCTAGCCACCGGGACATTCAGCACCCTGACCGTACCTAACAAGCCACCGAGGTCACAGGGTACCCTGTCCGGTGATTCAATCAGTAGGAAGTCATCCATATAGTGCAAACCCCTTTGACAACCTACCTGGTGTTCTAAAATCCAGTGAAGGGTTTGTGCGAACGTGTCAAATAACCATGGGCTACTTTTTGACCCGAAGGTCAGTTTGACAGCAAAATAATATAGCTCCCTCCATTTCACCCCTTGCCATTGCCATAACGACTGCTTGATAGGCTTGAATGCGTCCGAGATATCCGCTTTAGATAACTAAGCCCCCTTCCCCGCCTGGATGATGTACTGTATTGCCTGATCCACGGAGGAATAATTGAGGGAAAATTCTTCCGATGGAAATCAACGAATTTAAACTCGGAATATGCAAAGAATGTGGAGCAGACAAGTCATAAATTAACCGATGTTTATTGGAGAATTTGCCACATACCAGTCCAATGGGGTTGACCCTCCATGATGAAAATGGGGATTTGGAGAACGGGCCTATGACAAAACCTTTCTCCAGCTCAATGCTCAATAAAGAATCGACTCTACCCGGGTCAGCGACAGCCGACATCAAATTGGGACACTCGTGTGATGTCTGTGGCAGTGTGATCAGCCCCATATGGAACCCCGAAGTGAACCCGTCTACCAGAAACTCCGTTAACGCGTGGTTAGGATAGGCCCTCAAATACTCCACCAGAGCATCCACATTTACTCTGCTTAGTCACGACGGCTGCGCGCTGCGCACCGTGCAATTGATCTTAGGATGTGCTCTGAAGCAGACCGAACAAATGTGCAACAGTCGACACTGCGGATAATTACAAGACTTGTAATTAAAATTGTTGCAGATCTGGGCTTTCCCCAGGCACTGGATCGGCCTACCCAATTTGTCATACTGTGTGGAGGTACCGCTGGACGGGTTAGGTAATAACCCCGATGGTTGGAGAACCGTGGTCGCTTCCGCCAATGCCAGGGTGGCACCAGTTAGCCGTGTGTGCGGATGACTGACATATCATGCATACCGGCGCCTTGAGCCCCGTGAAGTGCCTGCAGAAAAGCTCGGTGTCTATTCTACCCCAGTTGGACACATACTGAAATTGGGCCAGGCCAGCAGCGGCTTTTGCCGAAAAAGCCCTGTGGTAGTCATAGAAGGCGAAGCCTCCGTACTTGTGCGCTAGATCTACCACCAAATGCAAGTACATGTCCAACTCCTCTCTGCGAGCGGGGCTCACAGAGCACACCACGTCCCTGTACATACCGAAGGCCAACACAAACTCAGACACAGACAACTTGCGGTTCAACCGAGGATCCCTGGCCTTCAGTATGACAGAAACATCGCCGCATGCGAAGGACTTGTTATCCGTAACGTCATGTGTGGCTATGAGTAGTGAAGCTAGGTTCACATCCTTGCCCTCCAGTATGTCCTCCTTAAGGTTAGCCTGCACAAAGTGCGCTGGTGTGATATTAGGGGGAAAACCCGACGTACCTGCATAACCGTCCCCCCGTGTGCCGGACGTGCTTGGAATAACCGTGCTTGGAATAACGTGCCTGTAGGAGCCTGCGCCGCTGAGCCTGCGCCGCTGCAGCCGGAACCGGAGTGACCAGTTTCTCCAAATTTTCAGTCCTCTGCTGCAACTCGTGCAAAGC